TATTTGTGCTGAGGGAGAGGTTAAAAAGAGAAGTAAGAGGTGGAGCAATAACATCTGCAGCTATCTTTAAAAAGAAAGGTTCTACGTTGTCCGGGCCAGCCGGTTTCTTAGGATCTAACTTAGATAATGCTTCATGAACAACATTTACAGTAAAAGGAGTACAACTGAAAGGGTTTTCCAGACCACATTGTTCAGAGTCACAGACTGTGGTGTTCACAGAAGCAGAGTTAGTCACAGAATCAAACATAGAACCGCAGGACACAAAATGCTCATTAAAACAATTTAACATGGTGGCCCTGTCCGATATAGAGCCAGATGTTGTGGTAATGCACGGAGGTAGCTCATTTCGGATCTTACCGGTGGATATCGATTTTATGGCTTTCCAACATTTCCTAGGATTATTTAGGTTTTCTGTAGCAACTGACAAATAGTACTTCGACTTAGCACCGTGTGTATCAATAGTTTGTAACATAGTGTGTGTGTTTAATAAGATTTAATTATTTATATTTCTTTTAAAAGTTTAAATAGGTGTACGTTGTATGTATTCAGCTTCAAGAAATATAGGGAATATTGTTTACAAAAGTTAATTAATAATTTCTTAAGTTGAATAACAGTTAGCATTATGTCTGTAACATGTGCTGGTTCCTATTTAAAATCTTAAGTAAACAAACTGATATTAAGTATGTGTTTCATCTCTTTTATCCTAAAATCACTACTAAAATGCATTGTTATGTTCAGAAGTTGGAAAAAACGTCCCTTAGCTGTTACAGAGTATACAACATGTTTTCAGCTCTACATGTTTTTGACCCCGTCATGTCGCTCCTTAGCCAAAGACTTCATCAGCTCCCTGATGGAGAAGGACCCGGAGAAGAGGTTCGTCTGTGACCAGGCTCTGGAGCATCCATGGTGAGAGACAAACCCCCGGCACCCTGCGCCCAAAACCAGACCATCACTGGGAGCCACATGCACATTTTGGTGCGATCAAACAGCAGTATGACGCAGATTGCCAGGCTTACGCATTTGTCATGGAGAGCATGTCCTCCCTCTGTCATCTGTCGCCATGGCTGCGAGCCGGGAACCCACCTCTGCTCGGCACCGCCAGCCGCCGGAGAGAAAATCTGCTGAATAAATGGCCGCCAATTAGTAGCTGGCGTCCTGAAGGATCCTTGAAGAATGTGGACGCTTTAATGAACAATTAGGATGTCTTCCCAGGCCTGAGCTGCAGCTAACGAGAGAGAGCGAGCGAGCGTGGGCTGCTGTCTCCGGCTGAGTGGCTCATACGGAAAGTTCTGTTAGCTGTTAATGGTGCTGGGCAGGTGGCCTCTCTGGAAAAAATGAGGTTTGTGACACCGGTAACAGGTGTCATAACCGAGAGAAATGGCTTTCATTGACTAGGTCTCATGCAGAGATATTATGATAAATGTGACAGAAAGTGATGCAAATATCGCCCCCATCAATCACAGATGTTTTAGCAGAATGAAAATAAATGATCCGAGCAGATAGGAAAACAACATTAGGATGAATCCCAGAGGCATTACTGATACAAAAATAATCTATTTAGGTAATGCTGTGTTTGTGTGTGTGGACTGTCAGCTACTTATCTTCTCTTTTTAAAATTGGAATTATGGAAGATACAATCTCATTTTGCAGGACTTTTTGTATTTCATTATTCCCAAAGTTTTCTACACCTTCTGCAGGGGGATACCTAGAGAGTGATCTTAAGATTCAAATCTGATAACACTGAATAGTTTTAGGTTATGATCAAATGTATTGGGTCCAGGCTGTCGATGTGAAAATGTTTAATCTGATCATTTGTTATGCTATTCATATCTATTGGCTTTAATGTTATTGGTTTGACGTAAAAGGTTGGTGATTTAGGCTAATTTAAACTAAACATGTACATGATATTAAAGGACTTGACTTATATTTCCAGGATTGCTGGAGACACTGCTCTCTGCAAGAACATACACGAGTCAGTCAGTCGACAGATGCGGAAAAACTTTGCCAAAAGCAAATGGAGGGTGAGCACTCGAGATCAGATGTTACTAAAAACAGAATATGTTCTATCTTTGTGAATAGCCAAGGATTTGTCTGTACTTGGTTTACATATGTCTGTTTACATCCTCTCTTCACAGCAAGCCTTTAATGCGACGGCTGTGATCCGCCACATGCGGCGCCTGCAGCTGGGCACCAGCTTCGGCGGCAGCAGCATCCACAACGCCAACTCCAACCCGCAGAGCCGCGCTCCAGCCAAGAGCCAGTCTGTGGACTGCGACCCGCCGTCCCTGAAGGACTGTGAGTGACACTTCAGCTTCTCCGTAGACTCAAACGTGTCCAAGTTTAGAGCCGCTGTCAGCTGGCCTCTGTTCACTCTGCTAACCTCAACACTGGGAGATTGGAAACTGTTTATGAGTTTTTAATTAAACAGACTAAACGTATTTGACATGAGACATTTGATTTAACGTAAGATTTATTTATAAGAAGAATACATTTCTGTTTATTGCTCACGATAGATAGATAGATAGATAGATAGATACTTACTTTAGGGATTCCAGGGTATTTTAGACTCTACTACTTCTACTGAGGAATGTTTTCAAGATCAATAACTGAAATATTCCTGATTAAACTTATTTTTTCTCTGTCAAAGAGCTTTAATAAGTAGCTACTTGACATTACATGTTACTTGTTAGACGCTTTTATCCAAAGCGACTTACATACTCGATACTGTGGACAATCCCCACAGGAGCAATTTGGGGTGAAGTGTCTTGCCCAGGGACACAACGACATGCTGACTGCAGTGGGGTTTGAACCTGTGGCCATCTGATCCCCATACCAAGGCTCTATCCACTGCGCCACATGCCTCCCTGACAGATGGCTAAGGCCGAGTTACACTTCATTAGAACTAGTTCAAACGATAAATCAAGTGTTTATGTTTTTTTAACGTCTGAACTCATAGGCCTGCTGCCAGAAAGAAGAGAAGACACTTCACCATTTAAATATGGGGATAGCAGCACAGACTCTGAGACTGTCTCTCCACGAAGACTTTTAAAAAGCTACACAAATAGCTTTCTTTAACTCCATACAGCTGCCCAATGACTAAATGTAATCCAGGATCAGAAATGTGTGGTGTGAGGGTGTTTCCGAAGATATTGGTACATGACAAGCAGCATACTGACTTCATATGTAATAATCAAATCATAGGACATTTCCAGACCTATCCTTTAACCTTTATTTTCCCTGCCTGTCAAACAAAACTTAGTTAATGACTTGCAACACTTTACTGAAACTATATTTTCTCCCACAGGTCCTCCGATAGCACCTCTGCCCTCCACAGTTACAGTGTACAATCAGGACTCTGAAGCCCCCTCCCCTGTCCGAGAGGAGCCCTCCGCGGTGGCCGAGGCCTCTCGACCCCGACCCTCCACCGTCACGGTCATCCACACTGGGACTAAATGACGCCAGGTGCCGCGGGAGGTGAGCTGGGAGACCACAGAGCTTTGAGACGGGAAACAACCATCTCTCAATGTCCTCGCCCAGTTTGCTCATCCCGCAACCTCCCATCTGATTCTGCCAACCAGGGGGGAATTTGAGGAGCGTTGGCTCCATTTACCACGGCTCAGCACGACACCGCTGCTGCTCCCCTTCCCTCTGTCATACAGACCTGGAGGTACAGAGGGGAAGATGCTCACCAGAAGTTGTTTTTGAGGAAGCTGCGTTCAGGATCACGGTTGTCTGGCAGGTGAAAAAGCAGCTGGGGAAGTGCCACACTAAAGGGAACTCTTTATTGAAGCTGCGATCAGTTTTGACTGCGAGCGTCTTGAGAGAAGGACGCTCCTCTGTATGCCTTGTGTAAATATCCTGCGTGGAAATGTTGAGTGGAGTCATGTTATGCAAGTGAAATATAACTGTGGTAAATAATCGTGACATCATCTGCACTCTGAACTTTTTTCTTGTGGTTTTGACAGCTTTGGTTAATGTGTGGTGGTATTTGCTACAATGGCTCCAAACAGTGTGACAGTGTGTGTGCTATATCTTTGCTTTAAAGTGTTTGGACAGGACGGCGTGCTTCAATCACGGCTGTGATCGCTGAGAGGGCCGGTGCATTGCACTAATGTATTGGATTATTTATTTTCTTACACCATATTCTGACTTTTTTGTAAGTACCGTGGTATTAGACTGGACTGAAAAGCTATTGAATTGAATGATAAAAAACACAGTATCTAATATAGTTGTTAGTTTATAGTTTCTGTTTAAGTTGAGGAACTCATGTTTTGACTGTGAAGTCCTCCTCGACCACAGGAGGGCGACCTCGTGTTGTTTCTGTGTGACCAGCTCTCAGGGATGTGCTCGACATTAAGCCAACCAAACCCTCTCACTGCAGATGAGGACGTTGAAAAGTAAAAACCTCCACATACTGCATATTATTCTAATGTGCCATTGGGAGAGTATGACAGATGTTTTATATTTCTTTTAAATCCATAATTATTGACAGTATAATGTAACTGAATGGATTGTTTTCCCCTTTAAGAAAGTATATTTGGATTCAAAGAAAGTGTTTATCAGTGCAAAAATGACAAATGAATGCAAACGTATCTCTTCGCAGAACCGTCTAATCGTCTAATCGTCTAGTAGTGTACAGATCAGTAGGCGTAATATATTGCTACCTGCTTGCGCTCAAGAGGAGGCTGGTCTGAGAACATCTCCTTCTCTCTGTGTTTAATCACTGTGCTTTCATACCAGCCTGTTGAATTTAGCAGAAACACTCTTTCTCCTTCCTTCTTTCTCCCGTCGCTCTCTGGAGACTTTCACACGGAAAGGAGACGGGATCTGTCTTTGTATCTATTTAATTTTTAAATCATACAACATGAACGATGTAAAAACAACACTCCACCAGAATATGCCCAATATCCAGGGCTTTGCCATATTAAATTATCTCAAAATGTTGTGGTGAATATTGACTTCTACTTACTGTAAATACAAAATCTCAACAAACAGTTAGCTTTGGTCTTGAGTGTTTTATTTTTTGTCTTCCCTATATATTTGTTCTCCAAAAAGAAAAGAAAAACATCAACAGAAAGCAAAAGTTATGAAGCATTGAGAGCCCTTCGGTTTGCATGTATTACGTATTGTTGCAGAAATGTGCTTTTAGAGTTGTAGATTCATGTATTAAAAAAGAGACTGTTCTGCATGGGTTGTTGATTCTTTGAGAGTAAATATCAGGTTAGTGAGTTAGTTAGAGTTTGTACATATTTCTTACAGTAAGATTATAGATCAATACATCAAAACTACTACGTTAAAAGAAGAACTGTCAGCACAATGGATTATATATAGAGTAATTGCAGTATATGGTTAGTACAATATATATGAGTAAATACAGTTTATTCACACGCATTCATCTTCTGGTAATGTAGCATGAAATCATTGCACATCTATTAACCCAGGCCCTCCATTATTTAAACATACTTAACATTATTTTATCAGTTTAATACTTTATGACTTTTCTTTAAAAATGAAAATAATCTTTAGTTCATCCACAGCCCATTCAATATAAAACATAATACATTCTCTCTTTATGCATTAACTCAGTTTAATGGTTATTTCTGTACCGTGTCTCCTTCGTTAAATGTGTACGGCCAGTTTGTGGAAATGAGAAAAGTACTTCAATACCTACATATTTGCTTTTTAATTAAAAAGTTGAAAAGAAAAGACAAAAAACAATGCAATAATTATTTGCGTTATTATTACTTTTACACACCTTATGAGAGTCTGTGGGAATACTAAACAATGAGGATGTAAAGCTAGCATCAACAACAAAAGGGTGAAAACAACAAGCTGTTTTCTCAACCGTCAGTGTCAGATGAGAAAAGCCTCATTGTGTTTTTAAAGTTGTTTCTCTAAAAGCTCACATCTCTCCTCTCTTCAGCCCTGGGCCTCAGATGGACTGGCGGTTGTACTCCTGAGGAGGATGCATCCCGTCGTAGTGAAACTCCCTCCACTGCTCCGTGCTCTCTCGGCTCTTCTCGTTTTGTTCTGGGAAGATATGTAGGATGTTAGTTAGTGGATGAGCTGCTGGAGTGAATGAACTCTCGCCTCTCAGCCTCTTCAGACCTACCATCATCCTCCTCTTCAGCGAAGTTCTCGTGCCGGGTCCTCTTCTCCTCGTTAAACTCTCTCATGCGTTCATCTGCAGCTAGAATCTGCCTCTGCTCAGCTGGAGCGCAGAGGAGGAGGAATTAAATAGTGTAACAATCATAAACATCTGTGATACAGTAGCTTATTGTCATAACAACTAACAAAGAAGGAGGATTAGTTTATTTACTAATTATTTAAATTCTTCACATTTTCTTTGAATTACAAAGAACAATAGTTGTTTTTTAACTACTTTTGACTAATCATTATCAATATTAGCAGCGTTGCCTTGTATGGCTTGATAAGTAACTTTTATCATTTAAAACATTTAGCATATTGATAAAAGAAAACATTGTATTTTAGAAGAAAAAAAAGAAAAGAAAATTAAGTATGGACCCGCACGCACGCACGCACGCACGCACGCACGCACGCACGCACACACACACATTCACACAATGACTGTTGAACATCACAAAACTACACTTTCAAATAAGGACGACCATGGAGGTGAATCATCAAGTCTGAACAAAAGCTGCTTTTTGTGAACTTCTTAAAGCTGGTATTTGCTGTGATTCACAGAAAGCTGCGTGTTGCCAAGGCCAACGCTGAAAAACAAACAACCCTCGACCCTCTGGTGACGGAAGAAAATAATGAGTAATGTCTCACCCTTAGATCTACAAATACATGTGTGGGGAAAGCAGTGGTGGAATATATACATTTTCTCAAGTACTTAAGTTCAATATTGGCATCGTTTATACCTTTACTCCTCTACATCTCAGAGATAAATAAGGTGCTTTTTTTAATTAAGTGTATTTAAGACAAGATAACAATGTAAACTTAGTAAAGAAGAAACCAAGATGTTGAGTATCAGAAATGTGTCCTCTGCTCAGAGATCTTATTCTCATTACGTCTTTTTTTAATGTTTTTTTTTTTTTATCCCTGCCGAGTCGAAGCACAACTGTTGATTGGTTTCAGTGCCAGAAACACTTTTTAGGAGCAATGCGCTCATGGTATAGATGTAAATTGGTTGTGTGTGTAGACGGTGGAAGCAGGGAGAGGCATATACGTGCCTTGATCCCTGCCGAGTCGACACACAACTGTTGATTGGTGTCAGTGCCAGAAAAACTTTCTAGGAGCAATGCGCTCATGGTATAGATGTGGCGCATACATCTTAGTTCCTACTCTTTTCCCTCACCCTATCCTAAGGGAGTGCATGTACGTAGACACGTTGTGCCTCTCCACCTCTGTTCCTTACTTGTTACTTGCTACCCTTTTCCCTCAAGCTATCCTAAGGGAGTGCATGTACTGCTTTCATGTACGTAGACACGTTAGTTTAGCTGCTATAGGCTTAGACTGTCGGGGGACACCTTACTTCTTCCTTCTGTCTGTCTGTACCTGTGTACTCTCATGTTCCGAATAACCCAGCTTCCCCCAAATTTATTTTTGGTGTCTATCTACGCCGGGATCCTGAGTCGTGGCTGATCCTGTTGCTGCGGTCCTGTGTCCTGGATCCTGAATCATGTGTCCTGGATCCTGCATCCTGAGTCCTGGATCCGGAGTCCTGGATCCTGAGTCCTGGATCCTGCATCCTGAGTCCTGGATCTGAGTCCTGGATCCTGGATCTGAGTCCTGGACTTCGAGTTGTGGCTGAACCTATCACTGCGGTCCTTCCTGACTCTCATCATACTACTTCCCTGATGGCTCCCACAGGATTGTTGACATCCTCGTGGATTCATCTTCTTATTATAGACACATGCATTTCCAAACATTTGGTCTACCTACGCTGTAAAATGTATTATCTCTTCGATTTACACACAGCATCTATCTGTCCGTCCTGGGAGAGGGATCCCTCCTCCTTTTTTTTTTTTTTTTTTTAAATTTATTCAGGTTGTATCCCATTGAGATCATTGACCTCTTTTTCAAGGGAGACCTGCAACCTCTGTTGCTCTCCCTGAGGTTTCTCCCATTTTCCCCTTTAAACTGTGGGGTTTTCTCTGGAAGTTGTTCCTTGTACGATGTGAGGGTCTAAGGACAGAGGGTGTCGTATTGTCATACTGATATTCTGTACAAACTGTGAAGTCCACTGAGACAAATGTAACATTTGTGATATTGGGCTATATAAATAAACATTGATTGATTGATGATTCATTAATGTAACTGTAAGGGAATACAGTTACCTTTTTTGGTATCCTGATTATGTAATCCCGTTACATGTAATCCATTACTCCCCAAGCCTGTTTACAAGCATATACAATATGTCGGCCTACATTGAAGTCGGTGGTTCAGCAGAAGCTATAAAAAGATTTTAGCAGTCTGAGTTTGTCACAACATTACAGTCTCTTTAGTAGGGATGGTTTCCATTTTGGATCCGGTTGCAGAGTTGTTACTAATAATGGATGCAGAGAGGCGACCTGCATGTGACCTCTGAGAACATTAAAGTCCTCGTCTGTCATTTCAGTTTCAGTGAAGCTCGCACACTGACAGCAGTGACATTAGAGAGAGCCGTTAGCTGAGATAAGAGAGGGCTGGGATAGTCGTGCTGACCTTTCAAAAATCAGGTCACAACCTTTGACCTTTTAACAGGATTCCCAGCCAAGCCTGTGCATGCAGTGAGAGCAGGAAGCACGGGTGGAATGTAGGGAAGTACATTTACTAAGTATGAAGAATTGGGAGGGATGAAACCCTCTTTAATGGTCACACATGCAGAGCACACAGCCTCTGCATTTAACCCATCCTAGTACCAGGTGCTAGGAGCAGTAGGCAGCTATTTTACAGCGCCCGGGGAGCAATGGGAGTGGGGGGGTCATCTGGTGCCTTGCTCAAGGGCACCACGGCAGGGCAGGAGGTGAAGTAGGACCTCGCCAAGTAGCAGTCCACACTCCTTACTTTAAGTCTGGTCGGGGACTTGAACCAGCGACCCTACAGCTCCCAGTCCAAGCCCCTACTGACTGAGCCACTGCCGAAGTATTGTACTGAAGTACAATTCTCAGGTACTTGTACTTTACCTGAGTATTTTAGTTACGTCATACTACTACTCCATTACATTTCATAAGCCAATATTGTACTTTTTACTGCGCTACATGTACTGTTTATGGGGTTGTATTGTTTTTATTTAAGTTTTTTGTTAAAGGCTTGTTAAACACTTGGTGTTACCTTTTGTGTATCAAAAGTGCTATATAAATAAAGACGATTTATGACGAGCTTTAGTTACTTTACAAATTCAGATGACTAATTTATGCAAAATATAAATCAACAAATAAATATTTATATATAATCTTGGGGTCAAAACATCCATTAGCAGTATACAAAGCAGTTTTATTAGCTCCACTTTTACCAGCTATGATTAATGCATCGATAATCTTAATCCAGTAATTTCATATAAGTGATTTTAAAATTGGCCATTACGCCCAAGGAACATTCTCACTTTTTGCAAAACCCCAGAAAGAATAACAGGGCCCCTTTAAGTATTGCTACTTTCACTAAGGTATCAAATCTGGGTACTTCCTCCACTACTGACTGGAACTAATGCTGGGAAGTGAAGTTACTTAGTTATATATTACAGAGTTTAATATTTTAACAAATTAAGTGCATATTATTAAAGATTTGAAGATGAAAATATTTGATGGCAACTACAGTACCTGCTATTATTGATTTGTTTTTCTCTTTCAGACATTGCAGAGCAGACCTGCTTCTTCTGACTCACCTACTCCCACAAATGTCAAACCGCAGCATTCGTTGAGAGTCTGATGTCTCTGTTTTGATGTTTCCACTTTGCTTAAAACCTACTTTATCCACTATCTGCAACACGTAAAACATTAATCAAATATCTTTATTAGAACATTTATCTGACTGCAAGCAAGAAGATGTGCTTTTATGCCATAGTGCAGCAGGAGAGGCTATTCAAAGTGAGCGCAATTTGTTTGTGTTACTTTTGAACCTGTGTTTTTTCTCTGAAGCCTTTCTGCCTGTGTGTCGGCACATTCCTCATTCAACTCACAGCCGCTCACCCACTCACTCCATCTCAGTCTCCACGGCGTGTTTACTGCTTTGTGTTCACTTTATCCCCGCTTTTAACTGCACAAAGTGTCTTTTTGTTGCTGGTACACACACAGACCCACAGCATGTTACACAACTTCACATTGAGAGCAGCAGCCTCAGTGTGTGCTCTCACCTTCCTGTTGGCAGAACGGTACATAACAGCGGCCTTAAATCACTCGAGGATGTCAAACATGGTACAGTATGTGAATTTTCACAACACTTGTAAGGAGAATATTGACTGATTTACGCTGGAGGTGAGGGTGTGTGTGTGTGTGTGTGTGTGTGTGTGTGTGTGTGTGTGTGTGTGTGTGTGTGTGTGTGTGTGTGTGTGTGTGTGTGTGTGTGTGTGTGTGTGTGTGTGTGTGTGTGTGTGTGTGTGTGTGTGTGTGTGTGTGTGTGTTAGAGCTCCATGCTGCCCTGTGGCTCCTGCTGCAGACAGCAGAGAAGTTAACAGCTGCTGGCTGCCATAAAAACATCCAGGCTGTCATTAAAATGTCCACTCCCTGTCAATTAAACTGAACAAGAAAAACTGTTCGAGAGTAATTTCCCCCATCACTACATTTACCTAAAACAAGAGGACATATGTCATTGTGATTGTACTGTACAAAGTTAATGGGATTATTACAATACAGTGCCTGTTTATGGTCAGGATGGGGATAAAGAGACATTATCGCTTTATTTCACAAAGTATTTAGAGCTTGGACTTTTTTACGTCGTTAATATGATCAATGCTTTGTTTCGTCGTTGTCGAGCATGTTCGTTTTTTTTTTTTTTTTACTAGTTATGTGCTTTATGGTTTGTGATGTTTTTGTTGAGGTCTATACTTTTTCAAGGCACTTTTGTGCAAGATGATTTTCTTTTACTGGCAAAAATATTTAATTCACATCAATTAACTTAGATTCAATTAACTTAAAAAAGAACATTGAATGCTGAAAATGTTCAGAAATAACTTATAGACACATGTTTGTAATCTCATCACCAATTTGGATTCAACGATATGACTTCCATTGTGGCATAACAGTAAGGAATTGAGTGTAAGTAAACCTCTGCTGCAAGAAGTTCTTGTATAAGGAGTCACGGATTCCATCAATTACCACAAACACACAACAACAAACACACACCTGGTCGGCTGACCAGACCTCTGTCCAAACTGTGAACTCACCATTAATCTCATCCTGAGACTTTGAGGCTCGTCTGCTGCGTGTTCTGAAGAAGGTTGCTGCATCTGCCTCCTTCATGAAGATCTTCTTCATTGAACCTGCGGTGGGGAGCAGGAGGGGGTTCAGCTCACAACACAAAGAGATAAAGAGAGGGGATGAAGAAGAGGTGCAGCGCCTCACCTTGTGGCTCTTTAACGCTGCCTTTGCTGCTGGGCACAGCTGCAGAGTCGGCCTCTGGAGACACTGGGGCAGAGGGAAACACATAAAGGGTTACAATGATTAAAACACAGAGAATCTAGACTCACATTCTTACCCCTGCATGAAAAATACAAACAGATTTCATCACATTGATTCTCCTGCATCAGACTCACAGGAAAGTGCCACAAGCACAGCGACGAGGGCCAGCAGGGTTGCATACGTCCAGGACATCTTCAGCTTTGTGTCTGAATTTGTGGAGAGAAATGAGTAATGTGGCAAACCACGATGAGAGGTGGGTTTTTGAGAAGTGGGGAGGGAGCCTGGAGGAATATTGACTGCTGGACAGAGGAGAGGGAGGGAGTGACCTGAGCATCTGATAAAGCTGAATTCAAGAAACAGCAGACAGAAAGGGGCTGAAGGTCAATTAAAAGTTGGTGTGTGCTCTTTTAACCACTCATTTTTTAAGTACAAGTGGCCTGTGAGAGTCTATTTATTTAGTCATAGAAGAGAAAACGTATAGGCTTTGCTGTAGAAATGACCCTACAGGCTAAATATGCAACACTTGTCAGATTGATACCCGCACAAAATACATTCGATGACAAAAACACTGACGTTTCTGGAAAATAAATACAAAAACAAACCGAGGCCCAGGGTTGAAGGGGTTTTCTTACCAAATGTCTCCTTTGCAGATGCAGCTGAAAGAGGCCCCTCAACAAGGCCGCTCTCTCTGCTCCTTGCATAATGTCTTGCCGGAAAGTATGCAGACTTCTGTTTGCTAGAGTTTTTTTACACACCTGAATTCTGGCAGTGCACCAGAAAATACTGAATGTTATAATTGTTTTGTGGGGGAATCCAAGATGGAGCAGGATTGTTGCTCAGGGAAGTGAGAGGAAATCGGAAGGGGGGTTTCAAAATTCGGTCGTGAGTTCATTCAGGTAGGTGCTGAAAGCATATTGAGGATGGAAAATCATAAGTAAATAAGGACATTGGATTCAACAAAGAGGCTGTGAGTTTTAAATTCAGGGAAAAAGCTACACGGTGTTATTGTGTTTATTTTTTCCGCACAAAACCTATAAAGTCCAAAATAACATGTTTTTTAAAAATAAATTAAACTACTCTTTAATGTTTTAAATAAGTTTAATGACTGAAAAAGTATCACTTCTCACTTTGGGTTTCGTGTAATTGTGACGTAATTTCTCATTATTTTCAGAAGGCTCCACCTAAACCAAGAATAACAGTCAAATCTGTTGTTATTATTACAGATTATTATAATTATTTATGCATGAATATGTATGTTACCAAAGCTGGTTAAAGTGCAGCATTAATTACTTTGTATGCTGCAGGGTAGCGTGGGAATTTTAAACCAGGATAAACTAAACATTATTAATCCAAATCTGCAAAGTATCTAAAGGTAGGCTATTAATTAAATGTAGTGGAGTCAAAGTACACGATTTGCCACTGAATTGTAGTGGAGTGGAAGTACAAAGTAACACAACATTGAAATACTCAAGTCAAGTAGCCTACCTCAAAATAAAACTCTTAAACTCAGTAGCCTACTTTGGAAAATCTCCTTAGTTACTTTACACCCCTGCATTCCTCCACTGATTAGTGGCCCAAGTTTATCTTTGTTTAAAGGCAGCATTTCCTCCACTAAGAGCCGCTGTGGGCCCGCTGTCTCCGGGCCTCTCTGCCTCTCCTCGCTGCGGCAGTAGGGGGCTCTGTTTCCCGCAGACACCTCGATGACACGGCGGTGTGGCAGCGTCAGCAGGCAGAGGACACACTCGGATCAACCAGTAATCACCATCGTCACTCACACTGCCATGGTCGAAAAAACCAACAACAGCGCTTCCTATTTTTTACCGGGAGTGAAACTTTAAAAGGCTGGAAAACAGACATGCTGCTAGACGCCATAACCCCGAGGATATAGGCGACATTAAAGAGCGGAAAGTAGCCTCCACCACACCGAAGCCACAAAGAAGGTTCTTTTTTTTTCACGCTCGGAGGGAAAGACGGCATCCGGCCTGAGAAGAAGCTCCGAGGTCGGGGACTCCGGTCGGAGCAACGCTCATCGTTTCTGGTGAGAGTCGCACACATTTTCAGTGTAGTTTCTGTGAATTTACCGATGGGTTTAGCCCCTGGTTATACCCGAGGTGATATAAGAAACATTCACACCGCCCTGCGTTGACTCTAAACGGGCTTAACAATGTTTACTTCACAGTGTGTGTGTGAATGCAGTCGTTTGTTGTTTGTCCCATTCAGCGTTGAATGGCCGCATTTAACTAAAAAACAAACTGTGAGGTTAAAAACATGCTGCATAAATGAATAGTAAAGTCAGTTAAGACTGGCAAATGCTTCACTATGTGTGTCCTCATGGTTGCACATTTGTGTCAGGTTTGTAGTTAAATACACAGCAATTAAAAATAACTGGTTAGTTGTCGGTAAATTGTGTGAGGTTTGCTTGTAAGAGGGGAGGGCTTTGCTGCTCTGCGTGTATCGTCTTGCATAGATGTCACCAAAACATTCACTGACCCATATTTTAAAGATGGATTGTTTTACAGACCATCTTTTTTCTCACTTGGAAGCACCGTGCAAACTGTACCAGCCTCTGATCTCTCTCTCTCTCTCTCTCTCTCTCTCTCTCTCTCTCTCTCTCTCTCTCTCTCTCTCTCTCTCTCTCTCTCTCTCTCTCTCTCTCTCTCTCGCGCTCGCACGCACGCACGCACACACACACACAGTATTAAGCCTTCTCAGCTGTTTGTGGGAAGGCCAGCAGCAGACATGGGAAACAGTTTAAGAGACACTTCTGCAACTTCTAGGAATTTCACCTCAGCTTTCATTGCATTCCCGTACTTATGTCTTCTTCCTGAGCTAACCTGCGAACTGTGTGTGGATTAATGGTGGATGTGAAGTTGGCAGGATGTCCAAAAAGGAAGACATCATTGTTCTGGAGGGGGTGGGATGCTCATGGCAAACTCCAGAGGAAGTTCATTTTAGTGTAAAAACACCCAGGAGCCTATGTGGTTACAAATTAATTGCCACATGTATTGTTCTCGTGTTAACACTTTTATTCTAAGCACAAATACTTAGAAAGCTGGTCAATCTTCTGTGTTGTGCAACTATGTTACATTGTTGTGCACATGGGACCAAACTCTTCATATTTGTACAATAGTAACTTTAAGAGTTATGTTTTTTACCTTTTTAATTATAGCATGATCAGAAACCAAAAGTGGGAAGACATGTCAATAACTTTTTCTTTTATCATATTAATTATTTTGCAGAATAGTTTCCTCTATTGATTAATTCGTTTTTTTCAATTATGAAGAAGGCCCATCAGAATTTCCTTAAGCCCAACTTTAAGTCATCACAAGTCCAACAACGAAATATTCTGTTTACCTTCACACTAAGAAAACCACTTGACAAGTTAAACCAGTACGTTTTTTGCCATTTTACTTAAAAAAACATTACTTATCTATGATTTTAACACGTTTCTGATTATCTGTTGATCAACTAATGGATTAATAAACTCATGTTTCAGCTAATGTTACAAGTTTAAAAACAAATATTAGATTCTGCTGATATTCAGAAATTGGTGATATTGAATATTGTCACCCTGCCTATACATTTGATCAGAAAAATACATGTTCTTACACTAATTTGTTTTTGTTTACTAGTGCAATACCTGTAAAAAAACGTACACAAACATTACACAAGTCAAGAAGATAAGTGGTTTTCTACAGACCCCTTTGTTTCTTTAGCTAAACCAAACTCCAAAAATGTAAAGACACAACACGCCTAAATAAATACCTTGGAAAATATATTTCAAACCAGAAACATTGTGATAATTTAAGCAGGAAGCAAACCTTCAGTGAAAGCTTTATACACTTTCTGTACTATGGAAACATTGTGGTCAGTATATAAAAACATCTTGAGGTTTCATAATCATTCTTGTCAGTCTTTACAGTTTATATGGTTCTCATATAGAAAGAGCCATCAGAGCACTTCCTGTCATTGAATAGGTTTCAGTTTTACAGACGCCGTTGAGCTTCCTCGATGTGCATCATGTATCTTCAGGAGGTGTGTCAGTGTTATGGGCTGAAAATACCTCGTGGTATCCTGGTACCTGCAGGATGGCAGGGGGCTGTTGGGGGACAGTGTGCCCGTGTGTTGGTTTGACGTGGGGTCGTTCCCTTGGTGAGGGCCTTGGGGATGGTGGTGGCAGGGAAACCTGACGCGCTGTGAAACAGCTGTAGACACGCGGTGCTGATCCCTTGTGTCCCAGTGCAGATCAGATGATAGGCTAGTATGTGTATGGGTGTGTGTGAGAATGTGTGTGTATGGGTGTGTGTGAGAATGTGTGTGTGTGTGTGTGTGTGTGTGGGAGCATACACATGAATGTGTCTTTGCCAGGGATCCATTCTCTATATTCAACACACTATCAAACACATTGATTTTAAAACCAGACATCATAGACTTTTTTTGGGCAATTTGAGCAAGGTGTGTCTTACACTGTGTGCTATCTCTGGGTGTGCGTTTGAGAGCTCATGTTTAAGCGGCAGGCCAAGACAGCTGGCTGAAGGTTAATGTGTCACTACTCTCTGGAGAGCAGCTGCTATGTCACAGGCACCACTCCTTTCTATAGATAGCCGTGAATACCAACTCTTCCTCTTTTCTTTGCTGCATTAACACAAGAACTCTGGCCCCGGCATGCAGCTCAGGCCTCTCACATGCGGTCGCCCCACAAGACAAATGCTGTGGCTTGCAAGTTTGTCCGCCTCCACTCCCTGAATCCCTATCTCCGTTTGAATCTGGGAAGTAAAGACCCCTGCAGAGCCAGCTGGCCAGAGAACCTGTTTGATCGAGTTTTACTGTAATACCTTACTCCACATATCTGGATCGCCATCTGATCTATTAATGTCTGAAACAGGTGAGGGACAAATATTGCCCTTTTTACCGTCATTCTTGGCAGGATCTGCAGGAGCTGTCTGAACACTTGTCTGGTCTTTATTTGGAAGCAGACACACACACAACTTAATCCAAAACAACATTATTACAGCCAGCACTGCTTCACATATTTAAAATTTACCGCAGTGTTCATAATTAAGTTCTTATTGGTTTAATAAAATACCATGTTTAATCCATGGCTTAGGTTTTTAATTAGCTGAATTTAGAAACCCTCAGGCCCACTCTACCTGGGCTCAGTAGGTTTTTCTAATCGGGGATTGAGAAAGGAGACCAATGTTCAACAGCTAAAAAATAAGATCCTCCCTAATGAAATCTATCCATTCTCCATTTAATTCAAAGCGTTGTGTTTGTCGCAGCACTCACAAGGGGATAAGAAAAGGGTTTCCTCAATCATGTTTTAAAATTCAAATGGAGATATCAATTCAATATTAGTTGATAAAGGATTAATCAATAACAATTTTGATAATCAATCATCCCGAATATTAGCTTCTCAAATGTCACAAATAGCTTTGTTTTCGTTTCAATAAAATTAATATCTTTGTGTTTTCCGACTTTAGGCTCTGAAATATTGTCACAAGTATTTTTAATAAGTTAAATCTGATTACTATTATTCCATTTGTAAATAGAAGATTTATCCCTGAGAGTTTTGGTCATTGTTTCATCTTTTTGTTATAGTTTTTCAACCAAACAACTAAAAAAGTCATGCAGCCATAACAAGATACCAGCTTTACTCTCTGCAGGGTTTTCACCAAAGTGGAAGAATCAACTGTGCCTGGCAGGCAGACTGAATTTATTACAAAGGCGGCTGAGAGCTGTTTGTGTTTGCAGTTTGATACTGAAACTGATATTCTGATAACCCCGTCCTGCCGTCTGCCCTCAGATAGCCGCCTGGCCTGTTGCTCCCCCTCTCACAGCCATGAAAAGCTATCAGGAGCTGCTGGGGGTGCAGAGGAGGGGGGCTAATTGTCGCTCTCTCTGATGCTAATGTGATGCTCACAATCGTACGCCAGGTGACTTGACTCAAATCAGATGATTATCTCCGTAATGAGCCAAACAAGAGTGTGATAATCATGCTGCTTTTTATCCAGAATAAATTAGGAGAATCAATCTTAATATATGTTTTTATGAGGAGAGAATAACACAATCTATTAGTGGTAAACCTTCCAGGGCCCTTTCTGAAAATGTTTTATTTGATCCTCCTCATTGTATCCGCAAATTATTCCAAACACAAAACCTTTTGAGGATTTACAAAAAAGTAGTTTTGCATTGTAGTAACACAAGTGTGCTGCCTGCCAGATGATATCAGGCTCTTTCTGGCGATCTCAGCTGTGTCCACAGCGCTTATCTGCCACAATCATGCAGGCTTTTTATCCCATTCATAAGCTGTTATCATGTGAAGTGTAAGTGGCGCTTATGGATCGTTTCATATGAATAATCTAATTTTATGCTATTCATCACACTTTTTTTTTATCTCAGAATTTGCCCACACAAATATGTGAGCGTACATTTATGTATAAAATGAAATAGTAAAAGTAATTTTTCTGTGTATTTAAATAATTAAAATGTATTAATAGAGCACTTTGAAAGGAAGTCCAAAGTGTCGCTGCTAGAAAAATCAGACGGCATTATTTCCGTGGACCGATCCAAAGCCTCTGGTCCTGATTGCAAATTCTCTGTCCCTCTTAGTTTCCAGCATTAAAGACATAGAAGACCTCTACAAGGATATGATAATTTGCAAAGGCTCATAAGGGATTAAAAGGTATCAAACAGAGTCTGGAGCCAGGTCGGGAAGAGCTGTAAAGGTAATCAAAAGGGCCTTGAAATCAATCCTAAGACAAACAGGGAGCCACTGTAAAGAAGCTAAAACTGGTTTGTATCTGGTTCTGGTTTACCAAGGATTCATGGGTCATTTATTGTCAATAAGCAACAAAGGGTTGCTCAACCAAAATGCAGTTTTATCTTAGTCCATTATGCTAAGCAAGACATCATAACAAAACAAACGGAACAAAGAGTAGTGCATTCCTGTAGGTCTAGTACTTTGTTGGAATTTGCATTTAAAGGAATGTAAACGGCAGTAACAAAAACACTGGTCTCTGGGGAGATAACATAACCTAC